AGTATGACACCATTACTACCCTTTGTCGCTTTCCATAAGGAGAAATTTGTAACCTTTGTAGCACTTAATCTTGATATAAAATTTGATACATTTTTTGTCTTTCAGCCTCTAATAAGTCTTTCAGCACTTTTGTTAATTTATTCAACTTTGTCTTTATTTGTGGAGCTCTACATACTTGCCAGATTTTTCTCAACTTTCTTTTTTGTTCTATTTTATGTTTGATGGGATTCGGGACAGGTATTACATTTTTGGTTTTTGTTATTGGTGTAGATGCAGATGCTGCAGACAATAGTAGAGAATTGAAATTGATTATTGCATTATTTATTTCCTCTTCTATTCTTAGAGCTACATTTATAACTAATTGTTATTTTATTAGTTCGCGATATGTATCCCAACACTGAGTTGCGCTGTAAACAAGTACTATCGGTGAGTGGTCAGAGGACAACTCAAGACTGAAATGAATGGAAAGGTTACTTACATTTATATTTTTTGTTATAAAGAAGTCAATTAAATAAGGTTGCTTTCTTGGGTCACTAGGCCATTATGTTGGTTCACCAGTACTTATAAATTTTACTTTGTTTTCATTCAGTGCAGTGTGGAGATTTTTGCCTTTTGCGTTTGTTAAACGTGATCCCCATAGGGTATTTTTTGCGTTGAAATCCTCTCTGACTATAAATGTTTGACCAAGAGATTTGAGGAAATTCAAGTATGTGTCTTTGGTATTTGAGAACTTTGGAGGACAATACACAGCAGCCAATTTCAACAGACCATGAGAATCTTCAATCATTATTGTGATCGCTTGAATTTGTTATGTACTAACATATGATTTTCTGATTCAGAGCTAACTATACAGTTTTTTATGAAGATGGCAGTTCCACCGTGTCCCTTTCCGTCGGGATGATTGGTTTGAAATATTGTACAATTTTCTATTTTCTATTTTTTCAGTGAAATGCGTTTCTAAGGTTAATAGTAAGTCGATCGAATTTGAGTACAGAAAAGTTTACAATTCGTTGATATGTCTACTTATACCGTTTGCATTCCGTGCTACTATTTTCAATTCATTGAACTTACCCATTGATTTTATTGACCAACGCCGTTAAAATGTTCATCATTCCTGACATTTGTGTTATCAATGTTTTCATCATTTCTTTTAACTCTGCGAGTTCTGAGTTTTAAGAGTTAGATTCAACAGGTGTTTGACGCGTAACTTGGGCATATGATAATGTTTGTGGGATGTTGGCATTTGTGTTTTGAGCAGTTGCATTGTTTGTTGTATTGAAAGATTGTTGATGACTTGTTTGGACGGGTGTTACTTTTTCTCTCATGATTGGATATCGTTTAATTTTAAGTGATTTGTATACCTCACATCCCTTGTAGTTGGCTGTATGCTTTTCTCTGCATAAGGCACAGCTTATGTTTTCAGAATTTCTTTTTGTTGGACACCTGACGGTTTTATGATTTCCTGCACATTTAACACAAACCGGTGACTTGGAAATTTTTTGTGTGTCCATATTTTTGACAGTTAGAACAGTTAGGTACATTGAGGTCGCACTTTTTGAGAGCGATGTGGCTCAAATTGGATTTTGCAGTGAAGTAAATATTTAATTGAATAAATTTCTTTATTATTCACATTTTGTTTAAAGTCTAAAGAGAATAAATTTAATGGCCTACAACCTTAGTTCGTGGTTGTAATATGTTTTGGATATTTATGATTTCATGACCGTTTTCATGAAGGCTTTTTTTAATTTCATTTGCATCCACTGAGTAGTGCATGCCACGGAGGAAGACTTTAAAACCTCGTTCTTTCTTCGATTTATATGTATAGTATTCGATTTTTTTCTTTAAGCAGCTTTATTATGCTGGTGTAATGAGTTGAGTCAAATGGTTGCAGTTAGACTTCATTATTTGGCAATACTTTTATTTCATATTTGCAATTCGGTATTGCGTCAATTGCTTTTATTAAAATGTCTAGTCTCTATACTTTTTGAATAAAGAGCGGTGGTGGTTTGCTTTTTTTAAATTTGTTTTGTTGCATCATTTTCGTTATTGTCGCTCTTTTCACTATTCACTTCGCCGTTATCATTTTCGTCCGATAAGCATGCAAACCGTTTGCTGGTTTGGCAAGCCAATAGTTCGTCAGGGTTTGCTGATTAGATGATTGCTCCTTTTGCTTTTGTTTCTTAATCCTCTGCTTTTCTTTTTGATTATTAAGAGGTGATCTATTTCTTTTTGTTGAAAGTGGAGTATTTTGAGTAGTACTCTGCAATTTGGCGGTAATATTGTTGACATTATTGGTTCTTGCATTGATGTTGTTGTTATTATGCTAGTTGATAATGAGGTGGCAATTGTATTTGTTCTATTACTTGCAGGCAGAGTGTATACAATGTTTTCCACAAATGTTTTTACGGGAATTTAGTTCGAACTTACATCTTTATATGTTTTTGTGTTTTTTAATAAAGAATTTGTTAAGTTGTTGGTTAACTTAATTTTATTAGCAGTGGCAATTTCACTACCTATTTTTGCTATATTTGTTTCGTTTTTTGCTATGTGTACAGAATTTGTTTTGAGTTTATTATTTGTTTTAACGTCTTCTGTGCAAGCATAATATAGCCATTTAAGCCATTTTCACTTATATGAGAGTGCCGACGCTCATATATTAAATTTACAATTTAGTTACAGTTGGATTATTTAATTATTTTTTAAATTATTTAAAATTGAAAATTTCCAAATAAAATTTATTTATATCCATTTAAGTTTTTTAAGAATACTTGAAAATTACACTGTGGCAACACCACATTTATAATTTCTTACTTTCGTTAAAAAAAGATCATACAGCTGATAGTGTTTTGAGCAAGAACTCAATTTTTTTGTTTTGGTTGTTTTTGCGAACTTAAAAATTTTTAATTTGTTCAACAAAAATTTTTATATTTACTAAATTTTAATATCACCGTTCACTGACACTGTTTTTAGTAAAATATTTATATTTACGGTCTATCGCTCAAATGATCATAACTTTGAAATTACATTTTTAATGCACATTAAATTTCAAGTATTGTTTGTAAAAAAAAACACATTGCAGTGGAAATACCCTTTGACATCATTCGTTTTATTTTGGCGAGTTTTAAATTTTTAGATTAATTTTAATTGCATTGTGTGATAGTTAAATCTTTTATCATTTTTTTCCAAAGGTTAAGTAGTTGGTTGAATCGACATTAACAGCACTTCAATTCGACATAATTTCTTCGTGTGATTTGACGATATTCCATTGCTTTTTTTGGCGAGTTTATTTTTTTCTTTACTTTCAATTTGTGAATAAAATTGCGAACGTAATTTGTATGTTCGGTAGCTGATATTTATTGCTAATCAGTACAGAGACCAAGAAATAGAGAAAATATGCAATTGAGTAGACCACGAAATGTAATCAATACTACAAATTTAAATTTAATTCAAGTTGATGATAATGTTGATAATAATTCAGTTTTTTTGCGAAATTCGTTCAAATGTGCGTTGGTTGAAATACCGTCTAATTTTGATCTCTTTCATATTGATCCTATGAACTTGGTTTGTAGGCATTGTTTACCTAAGCATTTTGCTTCAGAGTCTACAATGCGTGAAAGAAATTCCTTCAAAATGTGTTGCCAAAAGGGTAAAATAGGGACCCTACCTCAAAGTAATACTAACGTAGTCCCGGGGTAGAAAAAGGTCTCTAGGAATGAGGGGGAGTGGTTTAGTCCGTGCGTGTCGGGCACTCACCTTCCGGAGCGACGGATTGTGGTCAGTGCGTAGGCATTCCACTCCTCCTTGCCGCAAAAAAAAAATCTGACTCAATGCTGGAGTTTTGCTATGATCCTAAAAATAAAGTCACATTTGAATCATGGTACAAGTGTTATAAATCAGTTTTCGCTATGGAAGCAGCACATCTCACTGAGCCGACTAAGATTCGATTGCTCACTAGCAAATTAAAAAATTTGGATTTCGAGCAATATGCAAACTCAATCTTACCAAAGGAAACCCAAGAGCTTACACTCATGCAAACGGTTGCCAAACTCTCCTCTATTTTCAGATATCGCCAATCAAAATTTTCTCAGCGCCAAAAATGTCTTACAATTTCAAAACAGGATTATGAAGACTTTGCTCAGTATGCAGCTCACGTCAACAAACATTGTGAAAAATTTAACATCGTTAATTACAGTCCCGATGAGTTTAAAACACAAATCTTTGTCAATGGCTTGAAGAGTTCATACGATTCGTTAATACTCGAGAAACTCTTTGCAAGACTCGACAATGAATCAACACCGTTTGGTGCACTTCAGACATAGGCGCAAAAGGATGCCTTCGTGTACTTAACACTTCAAGACCTCACTAATGAAACTGAACGTATAATCTGTCTGAAGCAAAACAAATACACTGTCGTCCAGCCATCTTCAAGTTCAGAAGTTTTTGCAATTCACCATCGATCTCCACGCAAAAATGAGTCATTACTGTCAAATTCTTTAGCAAAAGACGAATATTCGAAACCACCCACATTGGTGTTGTGGAGGTCTTCATTGGGTTAATGATTGCCCATTTAAAGGCAAAGAATGTTCAGCATGTAACACTATTGGCCACAAAAATGGTTACTGCAATATGAAGCCAAGCAAGTTGCAACGCAGAAAATCTCAGCCTGACACATCATGTGTGAAGAAAATTGACGAAACTAATAGAACGCAGCAGCATCGTAGGTATGTCAGACCAAATCTCAATAGATCTACAATTAAACTCCAACTTGATAGGTGGTCGGACATAAGAATTATTTCCAAATCGAACTGGACCAAACTTGGCCAGCCAACCCAACAAACTACTAATAAAAAATCTGGCAATGCTTCTGAAAATGTAATTCCTCTTCTGGGCAGCTTTGCTTGTGTTGTGAACCTAAATAGAAGAGAGGAATATGATGTGTATTATGTCACACCACTTAAATTGAACGTGTTTGGAATTGATTGGATAGCGACATTAAACTTATGGTAGTGCCTATCAGTTCCTTTTGTAAAGCAATCCTACTAACTAGTAGCGATAAATTAAACGATGAAATAAAGGCTAGGTTTCCGTCTCTTTTTTCTAATGACCTTGGCTGCTGTACGAAGACCCAAGCGAATCTGAAGCTAAAAAAAGAAGCGCGACCCGTTTATCGTAACGCTCGACCAGTTCCATATGCAGCAGCTCCCATAGTTTCGGCAGAACTTGAACGTCTTCAACATCTTGAAGTAATTTCACCACTTGAATACTCACAGTCAGCGGCGCCAATCGTAGTTGTAAGAAAGAAGATTGAAAAAGTTCGTATATGTGCCGATTATTCTACAGGTCTAAATGACGGCCTAGAGCCAAATAAATATCCTCTTCCAACGCCTGACCAAATATTCTCCAAACTTGCTAATAAGAAAGTCTTTAGCACAATTGACCTATCAGATGCATATTTCCAGATTCCAGTGGACCAAGAATCTCAAAGCCTGATGGCAATCAAAACTCACCTCGGCTTATTTAAAGTACTTAGACTGCAGCAAGGTGTTAAAACAGCCCCTGGCATTTTTTAACAGGTTGTTGACACAATGCTTAGCGGAACCAATACCATTGGGTTTATTGATGATATGATCTGTTCAGGAATTAACGAAGAAGACCACAAAATTCAACTGTTTAAAACCTTAAAGCGTATTCAAGATTATGGATTCAAACTTCGCTTCGAGAAATGTAATTTTGGAGAAACATCTGTCGAGTTCTGCGGACACAAGGTAGATCAATATGGTAGCAGACCACATCCAGGGAAACTCCGATCAATCCAAGATCTCCCACTACCAACAAATTTGCAACAAACACGAGCATTTTTAGGAACTGTAAATTATTATGGGAAATTCATTAAAAGTATGAAAAGCCTTCGCGGTCCTTTAGATGAACTTTTAAAAAAAGATAAGAAGTTTGAGTGGAAACAACACCATAATGAAGCATTCAACAAGATTAAAAATGTATTAACTTCTGATCTATGTCTCACGCATTTCGATCCAGCAAAGAAAATAATTTTAGCTACTGATGCTTCAGAATACGGTATGGGTGCAGTTCTCATGCATCAATTTAATGACGGAACGCTTCATCCAATTTCAGCTACATTCAATGCAGCAGAGCGGAAGTATCCTCAAATGTACAAGGAGGCTCGAGCTCTCGTATTTGGATTAAAAAAATGTCACTACTACATTTTTGGTCGTCGCTTTACCATTCACTTCTTGCTATATTCAACCCGAACAATTGCATCCCTTTGTTTACAGCGGCTCGCCTGCAACGGTTTGCAACCACTATTAAGTCATACGACTTCTCTATTGAATACATAAATACTGGCAGTTTTAGATATGCCGATATTATTTCTCGACTAATCGCAAACTATGTAAAACCTGATGAAGATACCGCCATAGCATCTATTCATTAGAAGAAGAAGAGGACCTGAAAATCAATTGTTTTGCGGTAGAAACAGCCACCAAACTTCCAATCACTTTTACTAATATTCAAACAGCAACCAAAGCCTGCCATACACTCAATAAGGTCAAGGTTCTACATCCAAAATGACTGCTGGCCTCAAAAGAGAAAACAAATCACAGATAATGAAGTAGCGTCATTTTTCCAGCATCGACATCATCTTACAATCCAACAAAAGAGTATTTTCTTTGATGAGAGAATTGTAATTCCAAAAATTTACCACCAGCAAGTCCTTGAAAATCTCCATAATGGACATCCAGGTGAGTGTCATATGAAACTTCTTGCTGCTACCAAAGTTTTTTGGCCAAACATTAAACTTGATATCGAACATGTGGTCAAAACTTGTGACACATGCGTTACAGCCTCAAAAAGTCCAATGAAATGTACTCCTCAACAGTGGAAAATTCCTTCTGCACCATAGAAACAAATTCATATTGACTACGTCTAATCGATGGCAATTACTTCCTTGTTATCATAGACGCTTTTAGCAAATGGCCAGAAATATTCAAAACTTCAACTACTACTGCAGCAAAAACTATTGAGTGCATTGAGAAAGTTTTTACGCAACACAGCCTTTGTGACACGATTGTTAGTGATAATGCTCCGCAATTCATCTCGCAGGAATTCAAAAGTTTTTGCGACTTCCAAGGAATTAATCACATATCTACAGCTCCATACAGTCCACAATCAAATGGTCAAGCAGAAGGGTTCGTTGACCTACTCAAATCAGGACTTAAAAAGGCAAAGGGAAGTATCGACAGGAAGCTCAACGAATTCCTCACTTGTTATCGATACATACCATCCTACAATCTCGATATGAAATCACCATATGAGCTTCTAAATGGCATAAAATTGAAAATTCGTCTTGACTGGTTTGAAGTTCCAGAATTCACGCATACAGTTGAACCATTCATTGTTCCAAATCGAACTTATGTACCGGAAGAGATCCTATCCCCTGCTATCGAGCAACAGTCTAATTCCAATGATGATGTTAATAGCAATCAGGAAATATCGACTATAATATAACACGTTACAAAGAGTAAAGATGATCTCAAATAGCTACAAAGGAGCATGCGCCACTTTGGCATTAAGGCTGCCAACAATATTAAAAGAGTCGGACTGTAGTAAACGGACGTAGTACAACACTGGTAGAAAACGTACGTTGTACAACACAGGACAAGAGAAGAGCAACTGGCAGAAAAAGGGCGGCAAGATAAGCGTTTGTGTAAGATTAATAATTATTGTGTTGTGTTGTAATTAGAGAAATAAAGTGAATCGAAATAATAGAGAACTGTATTTGTGTAACTAGCGACGATACTACACACAGCATGCAAATCCAACATTTAAATACTGCAAAGACTACAATCAAAAATACTTAGGACTATCATCAACGCTGACAGGTACATCTCAAGGTATGATTCATTGCGATTTAAAGATACCAGTCGTTGCAGACGTTATCCGAAAAAATAGTAAAAAGCACACACAGATTACTTTCCCATCCTAACCCAACAATGAGGCAGCTATCTAATGACGAAACCACACATAATAGACGATTGAAACGCTTATATCCATCAGAACTATCAATATTATAATAACCCATTAGTTAGTTAGTTATCTAATATATTCATAGTAAATTACTATTCTATTTAATTGACTCATTTATTCTATCATCTATCTCTTATTTTAATTATGTTATACTATTTAATTTAAAGAAGTTTTCTTTTTTTTATTTTTTTTCCATTATTAGTTCACTCGTGTAATTCTTAATCTTGGTTTTGAACCAATTTTTGAATTTCCATTATGTAAAAATGTATACTAAATGGTAAATCTTGACAGTTGTATAAATAAAGGGCAAAAAAACAAACAAAAAAACCTATTAATATAAAAAATTTCTGAAGAAAACATGCATTGCGGTGGTCAAGCATTATTGGCAGCGATACGACAAAAATTTTGACCGATCAAAGGTAAGGTCATGGCGCGGTTCGTCGTGCAACACTGTATTTGCTGTACAAGATGTAAACCTGTAACTTTCAATCAAATCCTGAGAAACCTTCCTCATACTCAAGTTCAACCAAGTAGGCCAAGTAGGTGTCGATTTTTGTAGACCAATATGGGCACACTACAAATTAAGAGAAAAGCGATCGCACAAGGCATATACTGCTGTTTTTCGTTGTTTTGCCACTGAGGCAGTACATTTGGACATGATAAATGACCTAACTATTGACGCATTTACTGGAGCAGTTAAACGTTTTGTTGCGAGGCGTGGACACTGCCAAAATATATTTTGTGATAATGCAACTAATTTTGTTGGAGCCAATAATAAACTGAATAAACTAGTAGAACTCATTTACTCAAAAAAATCAAGAGAAGTAGTTAAGAGCGCGTAAAAAAAGTATTAAATTCAACTTCAGTCCTTCTCGTACGCCTCACTTCGGAGGACTCTGGGAAGCAGCAGTGAAATCGGCGAAACATCTGCTTGTGCGCAGCGTTGCCACAGAATCCTTAACGTACGAAGAGCTAAAAACAGTTGTTATTGAAATAGAGTCGATATTAAATTCAAGGCCGATCATTCCAATATCGAATGATCCAAATGACTTTGAAACACCTTCGCCAGGCCACTTTCTAATTGGTGAAGCTCTCACAGCGCCAGCAAATACTAGCACACCAAATTTAAAAACATCATTACTAACGAGATGGAAATTGGTGTCCCACATAAAACATGAATTCTGGAGACGGTGGAACTCTGCAAAAATTTCCAAGAAAACACCTTAGTTATCATAAGGAATGGAAATTTACCTCCTCTTCAGTGGGCAATGAGTCGAGTAATTAACATATATAAGGGTAGTGACGGAATGGTATGTGTGGTCGATGTCAAAACAGCGTCAGGTATTTTGAGACGTCCCATACATAATTTGGCTCCACTTTTCCCTGAAAACAAGGATAGTGAAGATGACGGGATACCACTAACGCAACCCAAAGAAGCAGCAAAACAACAATTGACAGCATCAAAAAGGTCTATACAGGTACCAAATTTCTCAGTTGGCAGTATCAATCATTTCGGACGTAATTCGAAGGTATCCAAACGGTCGAGCAACTGCTGATCTCACATCAAAATCTAAGGAAAATAAAACATGATGTAAAATGATATAAGCACACAGTTATCTGATGAGGTTTCTACCAATGTATAATTCAGTCTATTGTTCATCAATGTAATACTAATAATAATATGGTTAAAATTCACTTAAAAATATTTTTAAATTTTATAAATATTTTCAAAATTTTCAATTACTAAACTGAAAATTAATTTTAACTAATTAAAATTATTAAATTACATATATGAAATTTTTAATTATTCTTAAACTTAAAAACTACTATTTAAAAAGTTGAGCAATTTAAAGCAATTTAAGATGTAAACAAGCAAAAAAAAAAACAACACAGAAACAAGTTTCTCATAACCTCGATCAACTTATTTACTTAAAACTAAGGTGCAGTTATGCCATACCAATTGCAGGCATGCGTTTTATCATACTTTTCAGTTAAATTATTTAAATCAATCAAATAATTTAAAGTGGTCTCCCTGCGGGATAGTGGTTAGAATATTCCCGCTGTTAGGCATGCCTGTCGTACGAGGCGACTAAAATCCAGCCAGGCGTAGGAGGGTGTGACTTAAAAGTGCACAGAGAGTGGTTTAACAGCTGTGCACCATCGAGGGATACAAGCAAGTGCACTGTCCTAAGAGAAGGCAGCCATTCTCGCCTAAGAGCGAGTACATAATACAAAGGAAGAGACGGAGGCAATGGAGCAATGCAAAGTCGTTCAAAATGAAAACCACTGTATTTAGACAGAGGAATGTTGCGAATGACATAAAAGAAGGAGTTGCTGCATTAGATGTGCTCTTTGACGACATGAGTTATTACCCCTTATGTTGGGTAAAATCTGAAGCAGAAAGAGTACGTAGTATACCACAATCAGGACTACAAAAAAATAGCAGTATAGTGGACACTGTTGTATATATTTATTATTGAATTCAATAATACTATTTTTAATTATTATTATTATATTTTTATTATAA